GTCCAAGGTCACACAGTTAGTAAGAGGTGAGCCAAGAAAGGAACCAAGAGAGTCTGGTTCTCTTATGCTAAACTCCATTTGATAGTCACCATTGGGACTACTTTATATTCTTATTTACCTTCTTTAAAGTGTATTAGTCTTACCTTCCCTAATTCTATGACATGTTCGTTAAAAGCAAGGAGCCTATTTTAGATATCTCTTTGTATTGCCCAGATTTTCTACACCATTTTGCAAACATTATGTTGATGGGGATAACAAGACAGGTCTTCTTAAAGAACTTGGCAAGTGCAGGATTTTTAAACAACGTGTAAATATATCCATAGTTTCCATGGGACTTAAAATAACTTTCCAAAATAAATTAGACAGCTTTGGAATTCTAATAACAAAAACTGTACAGTGGTGGCCCAGAAGAATTAATGCAGTTTTCAAAAGTGTCTAACTTATTAGACAGAGCCGCATATTCTCTGGGAGAATATGACTTGGTATGTGATATGAATTAACTCAAAAAAACTATAGATTATGACTTGGAACACACAACAGAGGTAACTGAGGTGCAGCTATACCTACCTAGCTGTATTATTTTAGATTAAGTCTTCTAACATTTCTGAATCTTAGTTTACTCACCTTTAAAATGGGAATAATAAAATGTACCCTCTTCCCTCTCAGGTTGTTGTAAGAATCAAATTAAATGAGGCTGTGAAAGCCCTTCCCAAGCAGAAAAGCACCAGATAAATGTAAAGTATTTTTAAAGTATAACAAGCACCATGCAGCTATAAATGTGTGGAGCATTAATAGCAACTGACTTTATCAGCAATCAGTGCGATAGCTCGGAAAAACATGGACTTTCAGGTCAAAAAGACCTGCATTCAAGTCCCCATTCTGCCATTTACTAGCTGAGGGGCCTTGGGCAAGTTGCTTACACATTTCTGAACCTCAATCTTTTCAATTACAAAATGGAGAAAATAATACCCACCTCACGGGGGATAACAGATAAGAAGCACAACGAATTTCTTTCTGTGCCCTCATACTGACAATATTAGTTATTTTACTCAAAACACATTGGAGAAGTTAGCCCTTCCAGAGTTTACCATAAACACATCAATATACAGAAAAAGTACATTTATTAGTATTTATTAAACCCTATTAAATGTCTCCCACCCTTTCAAGTGACAAGGGGTGGACCTAGAATTTTGTATTCCCTGCCCATTGGAGAAACAATATAAAAATGCTATAGGTCCATCAGAGGTTCTCAGACCCATTTGAAGGTCCGATGAAAGCTATGGCACTTCTCCCCAAAGAAAGCTACAGAACTTTTAGGAGACAACAGGAGATACAGGACAACATCTTCATGACCTTGGGGCAGGGAAAGCATTCTTTTTTTTTTTTGTGAGGAAGATCAGCCCTGAGCTAACACCCATGCCAATCCTCCTCTTTTTGCTGAGGAAGACTGGCCCTAAGCTAACATTCGTGCCCATCTTCCTCCACTTTATGTGGGATGCCACCACAGCATGGCCTGACAAGCAGTGCATCAGTGCGCGCCCAGGATCCAAACCCTGGCCGCCAGCAGCGGAGCGCATGCACTTAACCACTACAGCACGGGGCCGGCCCCTAGGGAAAGCATTCTTAAGCCAGGGGGACAGTAAGGGGAGGAGGGACACTAACCATAAAGAAAAAGATTCATATATATCTAAATTAAAATTAAGAATTTCAACATTGAAAGAAACCATAAAGAAAATTTTAAAAATAAGCCAGGGGCCGGCCCCGTGGCTTAGCGGTTAAGTGTGTGTGCGCTCTGTTGCTGGCAGCCTGGGTTCGGATCCCAGGCGCGCACCAAGGCACTGCTTCTCCGGCCATGCTGAGGCCGCGTCCCACGTACAGCAACTAGAAGGATGTGCAGCTATGACATACAACTATCTACTGGGGCTTTGGGCGAAAAAAGTAAATAAATAAAATTATAAAAAAAAAAAAAAAAAAAGCCAGAGTGGAAGATATTTGCAACACACATAACCAACAAATGTTGAGATTCCTGTGTAAAAAAAGAACCCCCACAAATCAATAAAAAATGATAGACAAAAAGTATCTATACAATGAAAAGAAACTACAGCTGCATGTACCAGTATGGATAAATCTTACAAACTTAATATTGAGTGAAAAAATCATGACACTAAAGAATACATACAGGGCCGGCCCCGTGGCTTAGCGGTTGGGTGCGCGCGCTCCGCTACTGGCGGCCCAGGTTCAGATCCCAGGCACGCACCGGCGCACCGCTTCTCCTGACATGCTGAGGCCACGTCCCACATACAGCAACTAGAAGGATGTGCAACTATGACATACAACTATCTACTGGGGCTTTGGGGAAAAAAAAAAAAAAAGGAGGATTGGCAATAGATGTTAGCTCAGAGCTGGTCTTCCTCAGCAAAAAGAGGAGGATTAGCATGGATGTTAGCTCAGGGCTGATCTTCCTCACAAAAAAAAAAATAAATAAATAAATAATAAATTAAAAGGGCCAAGACATTTTAAAAAAATGTAAAAAAAAAATTACAGGATGATTCCACTCATAGGAAGTTGTAAAATAGGTAAAACTAAATTATATTGTAGAGGGATGCATTTGTGTATGCATCTGCATACAAGTAAAACTCTACAAAAAAGCAAGAAAATAATAATTGAAAAAGTCAAAAAAGTGGTTCCCTAATGGGAAAGGAAGAGGCCATGACTGGGAGGGATGGAAGTCTGCTTCTAGGGAACTGACAAGATTCTATTTCTTAACATGAGTATAGGTTATAAGAGTTTTACTTTACAATCTGTAGGTTTTATATGCTCTTCTGAATGTACATTGCAAAAACAAACACACTTCCACAACCACACCTAAATTTAGCAGGAAGAGAAGGAGTTCACAGACTCCCTCAAGTCCATAAACCCCAAGTTCATGGTGTCAAGCTATGTGAGATCAAAGAAAAAGAGAAAATATTTAGATTGTAAAGTGGTGGAAGAGGTGGGAGTGATGAGAACAGGAAAGGAGAAAGATTAGAAAGATATTAAGTAGTAGAAACATTAAGCCTCTGGGTCAGTTCATACTCTCACTCGGAGAGAGAACATCCAGTACAGACCTAACTAACAAATGCCCAAGCTTGGTAAGGAATGTGATGGTGTCTGAAAAACACATTAACTAATGAGGGGAAGGAGGAGCACATCTTGTAAAGAAATGTAAGCTATTAAACACCGTATCCTGAAAGAAAGAAGACCAATAATTGCAAGTTTAACCCTCTACCCACTCCACAATATCTCTGTCCCTCACCCCTTAATGGAGAGAGGGCATATTAAATGGTTAGAAACTGCAAACACCAATTTCCAAGTGAAAAAGTACACAATGTCATGTCTCAGCAAAATATTATCACAGAACCTAGAAAAGCTTCTGCCAGCCTTAGGAAATTAAGGAACTGGTAAAAACAAGTTACAAAATGCCATTTCCACCAGCCTTGGAATAAAAACACATATTGCAACTAAATGATAAACATATATTTGGATCATATCTAGTCTGACCTCCAATCCAGCTCTTCACAGTAAAGTCCCTTGTAAGAGAGTGAAGCTTTTTGCTGAAGGTAACAGGAATTCAAGGTACCCCACACTGTTTAAATCAGTAATTCAATGGAGGTACATCTTTGTAAAGTTTTTTCATTGGATTCTTGCAAGAAGTATTTACTCATATCCAGCAATTACCCATTATTTCATTAGGTCTGGGTTTATACTGAACAAAACTATCAATTATTTTCAGAACAGTTGGTGTTCATGTAGATAGTCAAATGCCTTATTTTGCTGGCAAGTCCTTGTAATGGGGAAAAGGAATTATTTTTAAGGTTCCAAGATCCTTCAAAGGGCATCAAATCGACTATTTCTTCATGTTCCAATTAAATTCTTTCCTTTCATCCCATTTTCCACCCTCCATTTGTTCCCCACAGATCCATTATCTTCTCTTTAATTCTCCAACTTTCTCTTAGGTTAAGGGAGCCACAGAGGAGAACTTCTCCATGGCTTGATGGAATGTTCACTACATTCCACTTTCTAAAGAGGCTTTAATGGACAGTTCTCATCTGAATCCGTCTCACTTCTCTATCTCCCTTTTGTTGTCATCTCCTCAGGTTTGTTCTTCCCTCTTGTTTTCAGACAACTGGCTTACCCAGTTGGAACCAAAGGCCAGAGAATTTCCTCTCTATTATGTCTGATTGAAAAGCTGCTCCGGGAAGAGGGAAGGGGTGCGGATCTACACTCCCTCACTACTTACTCAACTTATGTGCCAAACTATTGATCTGTGGCCGCCTTTCTGCACCCAAAAACACAAGATCATAAAAGTAATTACAGACCGGGAAATGATCCTCAGTCCAAACGAATCTGCCTTTTGGGATGCTATATTCTGGACTAGGGGACTCACAAAATAACTCTAAAGCAAGTCTTACAGAAAACTGGTCAGCGCCACCATGGTGGGGGTGAGGGGGAGGGGCGGGAGGACAAACAACCACAGGTCCGAAGTTCACGAGACATGGTAACCAGACTTGACCATTAGCACACGGTTCGACCAGGTTGCACGGTTCGACCAGGTTGCGGCAGCGCAGGCAAACCTATCGGGAGGGGTGGTTCTCACCGAGACCGCCAGACCCAGCGAATTCTCCACCGGCCTTTCACTCATTCGGAGATAAGGAATCACCCGGGCCACAAATTCCAAGCCTGCAGCTCCTGGATTTAGTTTGCACGGGAAATTTGTAGTTTGGCTCCAGGGCCACTAGCAGGTAGAGACCAGTTTGAAATTCCTCGGGCTCCGCCCGAAAGTGAGGATGAGGATGGAAAAGCCACTCTCCCTCGTTTTCGCCTCCGAGTTAAAGGTGCCGGTCCCGTCCGGGCGGGTGAGGGAGCCGCCGCGGTCCGGGGCAGGACCTGCGCGACCCCGGGGCGCCCAGCCCTCGGTCCCCCGTGCCCCTGTCCCCTCTGGAGCTCCCCGCGCCCCTCACCTGCGGCCGAGTGGCCCGAGAGCGCACGGCCCCGGGCGCGGCGCGGCCCCCCGAGCTCGCGGCGCTCGCGCAGCTCTTCCTCCTCGTCCTCCCGCCGCCGGCCCTCAGCCATGGGCGAGGCGCGGGGGCGCAGCCGGGGCACGGCGGGTGAGCTGCGGGCCCCGGCGCCCCCTCCGCGAGCACCGGCTGCCCCACGCCAGCGCCCTCGGGGCCTGGAAAGCTGGTCCTGGCGAGGAGGTGGCGGCGGCTGCGGAAACGGCTACCTCTGCGGACTCCACCTGCAGCCCGCGGGGGAGAGGCCGGGCGCCGGCCGAGCCAGTCTCCCCGCCTCCTCGCGGCGCACCGGCGGCCTCCTGCCTGCTTTCTCTCTCCTACTCTCTTCCCCCTTCCTCTTTCCCTTCCCCGCCCCGCAGAGTTGGAGCCAGGGATCGGGCGGGTTCTGGCGGGGCCTCGCCTCCTCGGGGAGGGGTTAGCGGCCACCGAGGCCGCCCCACAACCACACGCGCTGGAACCACTCGCTCGACCAAAACAAACATGTACAAAATAAATAAACGGGATAGGAAGAGGGGAAAGAGGAGGTGGCCTGGCCTCTTCCTGCCCCTTCACAATATTCCGGTGTCAACAGGAAACCCATTTGCTTGACACTTAAACAAAAGGAGGAGGAGGAGGAACCTGCCCTTAGCCGGACTTGGAGGGATGGGACAGCTGGGAGCCGCTGAACTTGGGAACAAACTAGGCTTGGAATTTAGCCGAGCCTCTGCGTTGCACACTTTTTTCTTTCCCTCTCTTTTCGTCCTTTTAAATCGAGCCTCGTCAGAGCGCAGGGGATTTTTAGGGCAGAGAAACCACTCTGTATGGATTCTGTATTGATGGCTACATGTCATTATACATATGTCCAAACTTATAGAATGTAGGACATCAGGAGTGAACCCAAATGTAAACTGTAAACTTTGGGCGATTATGAAGTGTCAATGTAGGTTCCTCAGCTGTAACAAATGGACCACTCTGGAGGAGGTGTTGATGACGGGGAGGCTATGCATGTGTGGGGGCAGGGGTTATATGGGAAATCTCAATCTTCAGCTCAATTTTACTGTGAACCTAAAACAGCTCTAAAATATAAAGTCTAATAAAAATATATGTTTTTTAATCGAGCCTCGCTGTATTCTAATTAACTTAGGGTTAGGAAATGGCCTCAATCCCTAGAAGAAAACATGCTTAAGAGCCCGGTACCTGATTATTTTTAGAGAGGGATTTAGTGAAGTGGCAGGAGCACTGGCTCTGGAGTCAGAAACTGTGATCTGAAGTACTTAGCTGAGACCAACCCCTGTGAAAAATTTTCAAAGGTGAAAAGAACAGTGTAAGAAAGTTCTGAGCATCTGTATAGTACAGATCTTGGATTCAGTACTGCACATAACATACTTTCACACAGAGAGGAGCAGATTCTGGAATCGCAGAAAAAGATACCAGAGCAGCAGGAACATTGCCTGGACATGAATCTGTAGGAATCTCCCTGGTGGAATGAACAGGCCTTTATCTTCAGCCTCTTGCTCTATTTCTGAGAGATTATGAGAGCTCCTACTGTTCAGCATGGAAGAGAGAAAAAGAGAGGGAGAAAGGGTCACTGAAAATAGAATTGCCTGCCATATCCGAGTGCTGTTTCTCTGCGTTTTCAATAGTCGTTGTTGCTGCCTGAGAATATCTTTCTGCTTTTAGGCAGATAAGAACCACAATCGATTCTGTGGAATTGCAGTCAAATCCACAAGTTAAAACTTTATTACTGCATAAGCAGTTGAATAAGGAGACATCTGGAGAACTTGAAATTAAACTAGGGAGAAAAAGGTTCTGGACCTTTAGAGTTGTTTTAAGTGTGTAGGTTCACTTTAAGTGAAAGCACATTTGCCACTTACCTTCAAAGATGAGGAGTCATTTGGAGGCCCCTACCCCGACAACAGCACAACTTCACTAAGCTGTTGGAGTCAGTCTCTGCTATTATTCAGATTCTTAACTTGAAAAGGGCTGAAAGTGTTGTGGATCTCCCATCCAATCAGCTTTAGGAACCCACACCTTTATTTTGGGGTGCATACTCAAGCCCACTTTACATTCAGTAAATATTTATGATAACTATTGTGTGCCAAATACCACACTAAGTGCTGTGGAGAGATTCAAAAGAAAGAAAGAAATGTTTACTTTTGGGCTCTATGGTATGTGATTTTCACAGAAATTTTCTCATTTTAAATGAACAAAACAGGGGCCAGTTCAGTGGCATAGCGGTTAAGTGCACGTGCTTCTCTGGGGCAGCCCAGCCCAGGGTTCTGATCCCAGGCGCACACCCACACACTGCTTGTAAAGCCGTGCTGTGGTGGCCTCCGATATAAAGTGGAGGAAGATGGGCACAGATGTTAGCCCAGGGCCAGTCTTCCTCAGCAAAAAGAGGAGGATTGGCAACAGATGTTAGCTCAGGGCTAATCTTCCTCACACACACACACACAAAAATAAATGAACAAAACATGTTCCTTGTTCTCCAATGACAGACAAAGATTTATCTAGTTTACCACAAAACAAGGCAAAATTTGGTAAGTTCTATAATAAAGATATAACTTTAGATCTAAGAGTGCCAAGATAATTCAGTGAAGAAGGAATTGTCTTTACAACTGGATATTCTCCTGTAAAAGAATAAATTTGAACCCCTACTTCATACTATACCAAAAAGTAGCTCATGGATCATAGATCTAAATGTAAGAGCTAGAACTATAAAGCTCTTCAAAGAAAACACAGGATTAAATTTCTGTGACCTTGAGTTAGGCAATGATTTCTTAGGGTGACACCAAAATGTACAAGCAACAGATGAAAAAGTAAATTGGACCTTGCCCAAATTAAAAACTTTTGTGTTTCAAAGGACATCATCAAGAAAGTGAAAAGACAGCCCTCAGAATGTGAGAAAAATTTGTAAATCAATCTGATAAGGGACTTGTATTCAGAATACATAAAGAACTTACAACTGAACAATTAAAAAAAAATGGCCCAATTTAAAAATGGACATTGTCCAAAGAAGATATTCAAATGTCCAATAAGAACATGAAAAGATAGTCAACATCATTAATCATTAGGGAAATGCAAATCAAAACATCAAGGAGATACCACTTCACACCTACTATGATGCCTAAGATAAAAAATATAGACAATAAGAAGTGTTGATAAGGATGTGGTGAAATTTCAACCCTCATACATAGCGGATGGGAATGTAAAATGGTGCAGCCACTTTGGAAAACAGTTTGGCAATTCCTCAAAAAAGTTCAATATAAAGTTACCATATAGTGCAGCACTTCTACTCATAGATATATACCCAAGAGAAATGAAAACATATCCACACAAAAATTTGTGCATAAATGCTTACAGTGGCATTATTCATAATAGCCAAAAAGGTGATACGACCAAATGTTCGTCACCTGGTGAATGGACAAACAAAATGTGGCATATCCATTCAATGGAGTATTATTTAACAATAAAAATGAAGTATTGATACATGCTACAACATGGATGAACCTTGAAAACACTACACTAAGTTAAAGAAGCCAGAGACAAAAGACTGCTGTATATATGATTCTCTTTATATGAAATGGCCAGAATAGGTTAATCCATAGAGGTTGCTGGGGCAGAGAAGAATGGGGAGTCACAGCTAATAGACACAAGATTTCTTTTTGAGGTGATGACAAATCTCTAAAATCGGATAGTGGTGATGGTTGCACAGCTCTATTGGTCAGACTAAGGGAAGAATTTTATGATATGTAAATTATATCTCAATAAGGCTGTTATTTAAAAAAAAAAAAAGTAAAACCCACTCACTGTAAAAGCGCAGAAAACTAAGACCAGTGAGAGGACTGCACTTTGAAGTCTTCATATTAAGGCAGAGAAACGAGATAGGACTTACAAGCAATAAAGATTTAATCATATGAAAGAAAACCAAAAGTGTGACCAACTAGCAACAAAACAAACATGCCAAATCATCCTACCCACCCAAGTGACACAAGAGCCAAACCCATAGAAGGAAAATGTTAAGAAACTTGGAACGAAAATTTATAGACTAAGAGTAGAACATCAGATTCACCTTCAAAGCTTTAAGGTATTAAAAAAAATTTTTTTGTAAGACATATCAAAAAAGAGTCCCCATTATAAAAGAAAGTGTTCTTTGCTTCTCACTTTAGATATATAGCCTGTGACAAAATAGTGTGCGAATATAACACTATAAAAAATAAGAGTACACTGTATCAATACATATGTAGTACAGTGCTTGGAAAATAGAAGGCACAATAAATATTTGTTTAATGACTGAATATAATTCCATCTTTTTTCCTGCTAAATCATTAGAAGGTATGAGTCTCAAGTCCTTTAACTTAAATAAAAAGTAACTATCTGGAATTAATAATTTATGGCTGAAGATCTCAAAAAAGAAAAAGCAAGGATGAACAGGGATATACAGTGGATTTTAAAAGTACAATATCTTCAACATTTTGTTTCTTAAAATAAAATTCTGAACCAAATATGACAGAGTTTTAAGATTTATTAAAGTAGGGTAGTGGGTTTATTATATTATTCTCCATATTTTCTGTGTGTTTCAAACTTTTCATTATTTTTTAAAAAAGAGTTAAAAAGCAAAAAGCACAGTATAGTAGACTGAGGTAGTTATAGTTTCTGTCTAGTGCACTTCACTTGAGGGAATTCTCCCTGTGGTAAATGGCTTGCAAAACTGTCCCCATTTCTTTATGGATCCCTCTACCTATACTCTTTACAATGTGAGTATCTCCTCCAACAAGAGGTGGTTCCCCACCCCGTGAGGTTGGGCTGGCTTTGGGATTTGCTTTGGCCAATAAAATATGGCAGAAATGAATACCATTCCAGTGTAGTCAAATACCATCAAAATGTGATATATGTCATTTCAAAACTGACAGTGTGTGGATTTCCAGTCTAGATCTCAAGAGGCCTTGCTTGCTTCAATTTTTTCTCTTGGAGGCTTTCCACTACCGCGTGAGCAAGCCAAGGTGAGCCTACTAGGGAACGAGACGTTAAATGAAGGAAAGACCAGTTGTCCCAGCTGAGGCCTCCTAGACCAGCCCATGGCCAGCCAACCCCCAAACATGTGAGAGAACCCAATGGATGTTGGCAGAGCTGCTTATCTGACCAACAGCTGACCACAAACACATAAGTGACCCAGGTAAGACCAAAACCGCTGTAGTAAACTCATAAGCAGTAAGAAATACTTAATGTTTTATATCACTGAGGTTTTGTGGTTGTTTGTTATGTGGTATGTGCTGGCTTTGGATCGCCCGGGAATCAGTCGCTGAAATAGAGTTAGAGGTGCAAAAAGCTTATTAGAGAGTAACACCTGTGAAAGGAGCAGGAGAGACAGAAATA